CGTAAAACCTGAGTAATTGACAGTCCCGCGGGAGAGTTGCCACGACGGTAGGCACGAGGCGGGGGAGGGGAGTGAACCAACGAGGTGGCGAGGATAATATACAAACGCAAAAGAATCGTACACTAGAAGATGTGAGTCGAGCGCTTGCGTTTTGTTCTTCTGTGGCCTTTGTCGCTCATCCGCCATCTCATAGATGGATCCCAAAGTCACAGACGGAGAGGTCACGCTTTGTCCTATTCCTGACACCCCCCTACGGCCCAGCAGTTCAACAGCCTCTCGTGTGTACGTTGATTGGTTTGAGCCATCCTGGTTTTATCCCCTTTGCGAGCTTGCTTGTCAATTTATCCGGTGTGAGACAGAGGGGGAGGATGCTTCCGGAAGGAAATCGAGGTTGCTATTCCAGTTTGTGTACCAAAGTTGTACCTCGGTCTATGCCTGGGACCGGACGCCTCATAGCTGAACACTCCCCCCCTCCCTCCCAACGGGAACATGGACGATTTAGAATACTACTACTGCAACCGTCTTTCGTTCCCAATCGGCAGCAATGGAGGCTTCCCGGCATTGGTTAGGGATGGATGCGTTATTTGGCGGAGTAGTAAAACTGCGAAATGACAGAAGTATTGATCACAGATTCGCACCGCCTTCTCTCTCTCTCTGAAGGTTGTGAAGGAAGCGATTCGCTCGTCGGCGTTGACACAACCAACAGTTCGTCCATGTACATACCGTCGCACATCACTCATATGTCAGAACATGCAGCCTCTTCGACTGTAATTGGTGTGAGAGCCGTACACTGATACAATGATTATTATTTCAGGGTTAACGCTCGCACTGGGCAGGCCCGAGACGATACGAGTTGGAACTTGCTACACTGCTTGCGTATGCGTACTGCTGTACAGGACCTCCGCCGGTTGCTCTAGGGAACTGCCATCGGATTTGCTGCTGTACGGCGGTACTGCTGTAGCCTACCGAGAAAGGAGTCTTTCGACTCGCGACTCCTTTTGAGGCTTTCGCGAGAACGGAATATTGTGCAAAACGCAAACAACGACGAATGACGGCGATCTTGGTTCAAAGCCAAGCCACCGTCGCGGAGTAGCACAGTCAGTAACGCGTAAGGTCGCCGTACTTGTACGATAACATCGCGGTCGTCCTACACTGAACTGACACACGTTTTAGCGACCAATACAACTTGTCCATTTGCTTCGCATAGAGGTGCACATGTTTGTCCCGCGGGGCACACGTCACACACAAACAATAAATATATACTATCGCCGCGGGACGTTGTGATGAAGGGCAAGCCAGCACCCATTCCTGAGAGACCCACGCCCCACGCCCACAGGAAAAATACGTGGGGCACTCCCCCGGGAGCCGAACGCAAACCAAAAGAGTTGTTGGGAGGACGAGAGAACAAGCGGCAAGTGTCTGTCTGGCCCGGTGCTCAGCTTGCGGCGTCCCACACACATCGTGATAATTGCTGCTGGGTGCCATACACGCAACAAGCGGCGCCAGGACAGGCTGTGCGCACTCTCAGGAAAGTTTCGCTTTCGATTGGCACCTTTCGCCCCTTTTTGCACTCTCACCTTCGCGAGGGAAGAGACAGAGGAGCGATTACATAAGGCGTTCGCTCGACACACCGCATCTGCTGGAAACGGGGGGCACGCGAATGGATAGAGATACCCGGTGTACGTATGGCAGATTTTCCACACAAAACGCAAAAATCCCCCGCCGAATGTAACGGCTCTCTCAATGTTTTTCACCCGACCGAGAAGAACCGAAATCAGCGAAAAAATCAGCGAGCTCCGTTTCCGAGAGAAGAGATTTCTTGGGGGTCATCAAACGTCAAACATATCTACAGAACGTCACATAGTGCACGTCACGCCTGTCACGTACTGCTGTGTTTTACCGGGTCGCGTTCTTCTGACCTCCTTCCCTACTGCTGTATGTATGTACATGCAGAGATACCGATCCAGGTGACGCGGTCGCCGTGAGGTTCGTCGCGGTTCTACAGCAGTTGGTTCCTACATAAAGGAATACACACAGGAAGATTACGAGATTACCCGTACATACCGTATATGACATAAGATAACACACCCCCTGGACCAATTTTCAACGCTCGATTACTCCACGACCAAGAAAATGAATAAACACAACGATACATTTGTGGAAAGCTTTCGACAAGGGGATTCCAACGCCGCCGTTTTCGGCGCCATGACTCTTTCTGTTGTTGAGAAATCAAGATTTGAAAATCGATCCAGGGGGGTGTTATCTTGTGTCATATACGGAACACTCGTCGGTTCTGGTTCTTTAGAACCCCAGGGTACGGTTTCATTGATCTGCTCGTTCAGCATTTGTTGCATGTGGTACGCGTGTAAACATGCGATTGTACGCAACAGCACATCTGTAGTAGAACGAACAGAGTTGATTTGCGCCATTACATTATTATGAACGGTCCGGACATCATCCATCACTGTGCGCGTGTGTCTCTCCACATCTGTACCAGGTACCAGGTATTTAGCAAGGGACGGCGGCTGTCACGAACGAACGGACCGGCCCCGCCGGCGTCACCCCTCCGTTTCGCAAGAACGATGGATGGGCATACAAGGAATGAGAATGTCGACTCCAACTCAGTAGCATCTGGAGCCGAAGGAGGACGCGCAGCATCACCACCAATACCACCTGGACAACAACTAGATGATCTGCCACTCCAACGAGCGCTATCGCCCCTCCCTCCGTCCGTGTATGACGACGAGTGTCCCATCGGGACTTCCAACTCAGCGACGGCAGCATGTACCAGGATTCGCTTTCTTCCTCGCGAACTACCAGAAGGGGTATGCTCGCCATCGGCGGTGTCGGCAGCTACGATGGACACACACGTATTGGATGTCGAATCTCCGAGCGCTACTCTCGAACGGAAGGTGAAATGCGGGTGGTGGACCTAGACTACATAGTCTACACTCGAATCGAATCAAACGCGAGTGTATGTACTTCGTATCACATGTGTGTGAGAGAGAGAAAACAAAGACAGAGAGCCAGCGAGGAAACCAGAGAGAGAGAGAGAGAGCGAGGGAGAGGGGGGG